AGCCAGAGAGCACTTCAAGAAATCAGATAGCCTTAGTGCTTACAAACTCTGGGAAGCTGTAAGAACAGCCTTCCAAGAGAGACCTGAGATACAACAGGAAAGCCTACTTACAGAGTTAGTAAGAATGACACCACAATCCACTGGCTCAGAAAGGAATTATATAGAGAGATTCCTAGCAATCTGTGGGGAATTTGAGAGATTAGGGCTCAAACAACTGAACCACACCCTACATGATATCTTGAAGATGAACATTACATCCTGATGGAGAGAGTTCATACAGAACCAATTTGATATGGCATGCCAGAGCAGAACAAACCTACCAGAGAAGGATCTGGAAGGCCTACTGAAGGATATCCTCCACCAAATCTTCAAGAAAGACCTGAAGAAAGGCAGATCTACAAAGCCAAATACAAATGCAACAAGCTCAGATCCCCAAAAGTCTTACAAAAATACAAACTCTGAATCCAATCCAGAGAAGAGCTCACTGCAGAACTGGAACTGCTATATTTGTGGCAAACCTGGCCATTTGGCTAAATTTTGCAAATCTAACAAGAATTTGAAGCCTAACAAGCCTAAGAAAGACTCTAAAGGCAAAGGCAAGGAAACAACTATAGTTGCAACAGACAAGATTCATTTGGTTCATGAAGCAGCCTTTTCTATGAGAGAAGCGCGTGAATCCACAGACAGATGGATTCTTGACTCTGGAGCTGGATCCCACACAACCTCACATATGGATCTAGTTCAAATGGACCCAAAGAGCCATGCAACACAACTGCTTATGGTGAATGGTTCGAAATCAGTCACCAGAGGATTTGGCACGGCCAGTATCCAAACTGACAACAGAGAATTGAGCATTGGGGGGGTTAGAATTGTGCCTGACCTCCAGATTAACCTCATAAGCTTTGGGAAGCTTATACAAGACAGCTTTACAGTGGAACAGCTTTATGTCAACAGAGAACATGTCTTCCTACTAGAATCAGCAGATAAAATACAGAGCTTCAAAGCTGTGCTTAACAAGAATGACATCCTAGTTCTACAAACGCCTAGAATATGCAATTTACTGGCATACACATTTCCAGTACCTACAAAACTCCTAGAGCCCTGCTATGTAACAGCAACTCTAGAGAATAAAGATGATGTGCTTTTGGCACTGAATCACCTGGCAAAGGAGCCAGAAATCAAGGAGGATACAATAGCCAATGGGCACAAACACTGGGGGCATCTCAACATCCATGATATAGCTATTCTAGCTAGAGATCCGAGAATGGCAATGTGAATAAAGGGAGTAAAGAAGCTAGGGTTCTGTGAAACCTGTGCTAAAGCTAAGCAAGCTCACAACCCATTCAAATCTAGAACATGCTCTACAAAGCCTGGAGCTAAAATTTTTATTGATATTGCAGGTGGCAGCTCTACCCTATTCACAGACTCTGATCCTCCAAGCTACAGCAGAGTGAAGTATTTCCTACTTATAACAGACAATGCCACACAATACAGGTGGATCTACCTCCTGAAGAAGCAGGTCGAAGCTCCAGAAACCCTGAAGAACTGGATCAACATGATCAAAGTGTCTACTGAATGAAAGATTGGCACTATACTGTCCAATGGAGCTCCTGAATTGACAAGCCAACAACTGGCTGAATTCTACAGGAGCAAGGGTATACAACAGGAGATTACATGCCCATATACACCTCAACAAGATGGAACAAGTGAATGAGAAATATGACTTCTTTGCAAGTGAACAAGAAGTGTACTTATAGACTCAGAACTACCCAATGAGTTATGGGGTGAAGCTCTCACCACAGTCTCCATGATGGTGAATCTATCACCTATCTCAGTGCCTCTATACAGATGCAAGAACACAAAGCCATTGACACTCTTTGAAGCCTGGATGAGTCACCAACCCCATTGCAGATGGGTCCATAGGTGGGGATGTGACACCTACATGAAGATTTTGAATGAATCCTCAAAGCTCCAATCTAGGTCCAAGAAGATCAAATTTGTAGGATATCATGGCATGCACACCTACAGGCTTTGGGACCCAGAAACAAACAGTATAATGATCTCGCAAGATGTTATATTCAACAAGAAATTGGATCAAATCCCTACAAATTCACTAACTGAAGCCAAATATGTTGAACTCCCAAAGGAGTACAATTACATAGATCCATTGAATGGCTGGCAACACAAGCTACTAGCTTACCTTGCAAAGGAGAAGCCAGAAATCATGAAGAAGCTCACAGACAGCAAATTAGAGACTTTAGAGCCCACATACCTGGGCAAAGAGCAAGTAATTCTCTCAGATACTACAGAGGAAGAAGAGAGAAATGGAGCTGAGCTTCCAGTGCTCAGTACACATACAGATATACCAAAATCCATCACCAAAGCCAAACACTCTGAAGAGTGACTTTATTGGAAGGAGGCTCTAGATGTTGAAGTCTCCAAATTACAAGAGAAAGGCACCTGGATCCTAGTCAAGAAAAAACCCCAAATGCAGATCCTCTCTGGCAAATGGGTATTCAATAGGAAGCTCAACAACACAGGTGGCACAGTATGATTCAAAGCCTGTTGGGTTGTACATGAATTCAAACAGCAAGAAGGTGTTCACTACAAGAAGACCTACACAGCAGTTGTTAGTGGACCTACAACAAGAGCCTTCTTTGCTATCTCAACAGTCAAGAACTGGAAGGTCAGAGTCTTTGACTTCATGACAGCCTTTCTAAATGGAACTCTTCCAGAGGACAAACATGTATATGTTCAACTACCCACTGGATTCAAGCACGGGCGGGGTAACTTAGTAGGGCTCTTACACCAGGGACTCTACAGATTGAAGCAAGCTGCTAGGCTCTGGTATCAAGCAGCTACTGACTATCTGAAATCTCTAGGATTCCAGATCTCTCCATACAATACAGGGCTACTCTACCACAAGAGGAAGCAAATGTACCTAACCCTACACATCAACAACTGCTGTATAATGGGACCCAACGAAGCCAAAATAGAATGGCTCATCAAGAAGCTTCAGGAATGCTTTGAGATCAAGGAGGTTACAGAACAAGGCTATTACCTAGGCATGCAGGTTCAAAAGCAGCCAAATGGAGACCTTTTTGTGAACCAGGAACAGTATATTGAGGATCTACTGACTGAATATGGAATGGAAGACTGTAAACCTTCCAAAACACCAATGAAGAAAGGAATAAGCATCAAATTTACACCAGATCAGACCCTTAAAGATGGAGTTAATGAGCAGGCTACGCCTACAAATTACAGGAAAGGCCTGGGCTTTCTACAGTTCCTAGTTACATGTATGAGGCTGGATATTGCATTTGCAGTCAATTATCTGGTGAGATTCAACAGCAGGCCCAATAGGGAAAGCTGGGCAGTGTTCAAGCAGATTCTATGCTACCTCAAGGGCACAAAATCAAAAGGAATAGTCTTCAAAAGAGATATGGATTCTGAAGACTTGAAACCAGCAGTCAGTTCAGATTCTGACTGGGCTGGAGCTGACCCTGTGTACAAATCCACCAGCAGCTACATTATTACCATGAATGGAGCTCCAATATTGTGGAGATCACAGCACCAGACATCTGTCTCAAAATCAACAACCAAAGCAGAGTATTTGGCAGCTAGCAAAGCTGCTTGTGAACTAGTTTGGATCAACAACCTGTTGATAGACACCGGGGTGATTAGCAAAGGCTCAGCAAAACTAAGAAGCTCAAAATTAAGTGTTGACAACAAGGGAGTGGTTGACTTAGCCAAAGCTGAAGCTATAACACAAAGAGCATGCCATATTGAGATTCGGCACCATATGCTAAGAGACTGGGTTCAAAAGGACAACATCTCAATCAAGCACATTGGAACCAACGCGAATAAAGCTGACGGGCTCACAAAGGCTCTTGCAATGGATCCCTACACTCAATTCATGAGCGCGATAGGGGTGACAAGCTGATACAGGAAAATATGGAGGTTTATCAGTGAAGCCAGTGAAAATATGGTATCGCAGTGAAACGGAGCTAAGCCTAAAGAAGGAATAAATCTGGATTCTGTAATTAATTTTTATCGCGGATTTGTGAGATTTGGAAGCTTTGGATCTTTGTGGCTCTCGCTCACTGCTGGAGCTCGTTGCATGGGGGGGTGTTAGGTAATCCAACTAGCACCTCGCTCACGTGACCCACATAGATTAGTCGAGATTCCCCTTTAGGTAGCTTAGTGAATGACAAGCATACAAGTCCTCCATCAAGCTCCATCTCACTGTAAGAGATGAGATCTCACTAGCCACTTTTGTAGCAAGCACAACCAAGATCAGTTTTCCATGCTCCAACACAACCCTTCCCTGGTCCAAACAGGTTATTTGGCGGCTTGGTGGTAACCAGGCAGCAACCTGGGTGATCACCTGACCCACACTAAACCATCTAACCGCTAGTTGGTAGTAAGTTTGTTAGTTGGTTACTTAACTTAATGCCAACTGCTCTGCCAGAACCTTATTATGGAGTGTTTTTCAACTTCATCCTCCTCATCTTCAACAACCTCATTATCCTGCTGTTCAGCTACTATAGTAGCATGATCCTCTCCGCTGGCCAGTACATATTTAAATTGCATAAATCTCACATTTACACTGAGAATTTTGCGTCATTTCGTTGTCTTAATGTGCTCGATCAAGGCTTGAAGTGAGGCAATCTCCTGATTTTTCAACACACCCCCAACAGCTTACCTACATACATCCTCTCAATTAATGTGGCAATCTTCCTGAACTTCACGCGAGTGCCTGGGCCAGAACCGTTGCCCATATCCATGGTCTGCATGACTTTTGGGCGGTTTAGGGTGGCCAATTCAATTGTAGAGGCATGTTACAAAGATATTGTTTTGACAATGGTCAAAGGCCAAATTCGCAAAATATGTCTACAAGAATGTGCAGAAAGGGATGAGCAGGAAGGAAGAACTTTGACATAGGAGAGAATTGTCTGAGAAAGAAAGGCTCAACAGGACTTGTGGAGCGTGACTCCATTTCAGCATGAGATATCAGCTGACTTCTCGGTCTCCAAATTGTCATAATCAATCATATCCCACTGCTTGGGCTGGTCAATCACATGCTGCAAATCTTTCATCACACCCTGAAGATCATCCAGCCCCAAATGCAACGCCAGATCAATGTAATCCTTCGTCCACAGTCCCAGCAAGCCCCGAGGATACTGCAACCTGAACCCTACAAACCACTGCGCGCGCTTCGACAACTTCTTTACCGTCTCCAATTTGATAATGAAAGGTTGCGCTTCCGAGGGAGTCAGGAAACTCGGAACAACGGTCAGCTGGATACATTTCCTCTCTGTCTCGGTTTTGTTCTCGCCCATTCCGTGGATCACCTTCCCACCAATTAGCAGACAGTCGCCCTTTTTCATTTCCGCTGGGATCGTCTGCTTCATATTGCCGCGCTGGTGGAAGGGCCATTTGTTGCTTCCCGGGATGATTCGCGTTGCGCCGTTGTCTTCCCTAAAGTCGGAAAACGCAAAGAGGAAGCTGATCTTAGCCTCTGTGCCCTCGGGTCCGAGCTGGGCGTATGGTGGATAGGACGTCAAATCGCGATGCAACACCTGCGGCGGCTGTGGTCCTGACGCATTGAGAGTCGAGGCTGTTGAGAGCCAGTAGTCTCCATTATGCCCGCCTTCGCTGAAGCATCGCTTGCAGATGGCGTGAATAAAGTCATTTTCAAGAATCTGCTCTCGGAAGGTGGCGCTGTGGTTAATAAGATCACCCGCTCGCTTGGTTTTGGGGCCGTGGAAGGCTGAGAGGTCGGGATGGGGAACTAATGAGCTTCTTTGGATAGAGTCGAGGCGCGATTCCAGTTCGGTCGTGATCTGGCTCGCTTCCGCTGGGGTAAGTATATTTTTCAGGATGACTGCGCCGCTTTCCTTCCAATGCTTGAATACTTCATCCAACGGTGTGTCCATTGTCACTTCCGCAAGTTTAAGCCCATTGGGGACAGCGACTTGGGGAATATCCGTGGGAACTCGCCACATGGGTGAGACTTTGAAAATTACCCGATGATACGTTAGCGGCGGAAATAGATAAGAGTTGAGAGGAGAGTAAGGATAACCAAGTTCCTTCAATGGAAGTGAAAACTTTATGGATCAATAAAGGCACAGTATCATTAACATTCTATCCCGATTTTATCTCATGATGATTGTCAAAGTTCCAGACCTTTCATTAGAAAGACCCTGGGTGGTTAGTCTCGGATCCCGTCTAGCGTAACCTTCGGTCTTGCGGGTTCCGATCGCGAGGTTGACTCGAGACCGCAATGGTATTTGATGCAAAGCCGCTTTCACCTGGAGTTTTGCTGAGGCCACAAGAGAATTGGACCATTTTCTGGAGGCGGCCGATATCCACTCCTTACAAACATGGGATTTGTTCTTGCAGCCCGCAGGCCATCATGACACCATGACAACATAAGCAAGTTACGAATTAAATATTTTAAGCCAATTGCACTTACTATCTCCAAAATATATTTGGGAATAAATGGACATTTACAATTCTAATGATGAGGTAACTAGAAGGAGTATGAAATCAGTGAGTTTTGCATGGTATTAGCAAAGATTCTTTTATATCCATTCATTTACATGTAAATATCAACATGAGGGGCTATCCTTCCCTCTCTTTGACTATTCCTCAAAGCGCTGACTCCCAAGGTTCTGCCCCTTCAGCTCAATGTCATCCAGGAACACTGAAGTCATCAATCCCAGTCCACTCAGGCCGGTCATTGTATAAAAAATCGTCTGGAAGCACTTCAGATAGACTCTCAAAACCTGATGTAGTGTTGTAAGAGAGACTTCTAATGATCTCAACTTGTCAATGAAGTTCACAGCATTGGAGACATCTTTCAGAGGTGCTAAGGCTCCCGTCAACTGGACTGTAGTATCAGAGATTGACTTTGCGAAAACATTGTTGAAAATTGCTGAAGAGATTGTGAGGCCGATAAGACCTCCAAACATGCGAATGGTGAGAAACTGCCCGATAGCTGAGCCTGTGTCGTCGACATTCTTGACACTCGCTTGCATGGGGAGAATATTGAGACGTAGTAACGCAACGCCCTGCCCCCAGAGAATTGGAAGCCCGTACAGCATGGCTGACGAGGACCCCACATCAAAGAGGGCCAACAAGCCGGTTCCCAGCGTAAGGATGGCCCATGAAAGTCGTAGAAGCCATACATATCCTCCGAAAAAGGGGACCCTCATCATTGAGATGGCCGCGAATACCACACTGACAACGACAGTGGGCAGCAGGGAGACAGCAGATAAGATTGCGGTCTCGAGCTCCACGGCTTGGTAGAGCAAGGGCAAGTATTGTAAAAGGGAGACCAGAACCATGCCATGGATGAAGCCTCCTACCAGCGTCACATTTCCGGTCTTTGAGTGGAAGAGTCGATGGGGAATGATGGGTGCCGCGGGCCTTGCCTCGTAGAGGATAAAGACAACAAGCACTCCAACTCCCAAGAACATTGGAAGGAGAGTCTGCCAGAAGACCCATGGAAATAAAGAGCCCGCCCAACTGAGTGGTACAACAAAAATCGTGATTCCAACAACAACGAGCGCCATACCAATCCAGTCGAGGCGGTTCAAGTTCCTGGAGAGCGTAGCATCGAGCGGGACGGGTCGAAGCTTGAGGAAGAAGAACACCAAAGGTGTCCCGATTCCTAGAAATCGCAGGTTGACCCATCCAATCCATCTCCAGGTAGCATATGTAGCAAAAAGCGCGCCAATAATGGGCCCCATGATATTGCCAATGGCGGTAGGAATGGACATCAAGCCAAGATATTTTGAACGTTCCTCCAGTGTCGTCATATCCGCAAGAATCACCTGAACCAGAACGTCAATTCCTCCACCGCCGAGGCCTTGAAGGACCCGTCCAGCAATAATGGTGCTCATATTTTGTGCAACAGCAAAAATGATGGAACCGATAAAGAACAATGCTATGGATACATAGAGAGGGGGCTTTCGACCGAACGCGTTGGAGATACTGGCCCAAACCAGTTGCATTGCCAGACCACATAAGATGTAGGCCAGGCTTGCCCAGAATGACTCTAGACTCGTGCCCTTCAGTTCACCAGCTATTGTCTATCTATGGGCATCAGGATTCGACATGAGTGGCATATAGATCAGGAAGAATGTTATGGCTCACTGGAAGGGCAATCCCCAGGCAAGTTGCATCCACCTGAAAAACAAAAAGGGTCGCCGCAAGCCCTATGAAGGCAAGTTTACGGGACAGTGACTTTTTTGGCGTCGGTTCAGTATTGTCCACCCCATTTGGCTCTTCGGGAGAGTGTCGCTCCACAGTCTCCGTCACTATTTCAACGTCCTCAGCTTTTTCAAAGTATTCTTCCAAGTCCGGTTCTTTTAGATTGGCAGCTGGAGATATATCGGCACCTGGACTGGCGTTGGCCTTTGAATGGCCCATTGTGGTATGGGAGCTCGAGTCTCCGAGCACATCGACTAGTTTCCTCGATCTGACGGAGTGATTACTACTCAAGCAAGCGTGCAGGTTGATTTGTGGGCGTTGTGGAGCTGGGGAGGCCTGGCAATCAGTCAATCAGCCGCGAGAGGGCGAAGTTTGGACGCCCTTGGCGCCTTAGCATGTGGGCAGAAAAATGCCCTGTGGGACTGAGCAGGAGCCAAATAAGAGCAGTTGCGAAAGCTTGAATAGATTTTCTGCATTGCATCTGGAAATACCCCCTTTTGTTTCACTCCAGGATCGGGCCATTTATTCTTCCAGATCTCTGTTGATGTGGCCTGTGCATCACTGGGTTAGTTAGTTAAATGCCTCGATAATTATACATCCTGGTACCTGCATGCGATCCAAGCAGGATGACCCATAAGTTGCCCGGTGGTGTTTTCTGTGTCGGCTCGGTTGTTTGCTCACAGGGGGGCATGCTGGTTGGATTGGCTGGAACTGTCTTCCCTGCAGAGAAAGGTCCAAACAACCCGCACTTTTGCGCCAATCCCTAAGGTCCTATCCATTGACGACGAGTTGTTTAGCTGCTTGTCCAGGTACCTAGAGGCAGTCAACAGCATTTTTTTCCCCTTTTCTTTGTTCTCTGTGTCTGGAGTGTATTTTTCTCTTCTTTCTTCCTTTCTTTCTTTTTCTTTTTCTTTTCCTTTTTTTTTTTTGCTGCTTTTCCACTGCTAATAGAGGTTTGGGTATCCTGAGGTCTGCGAATCTGAATGTGGCGCAACCTTGCAAAAAGACAAAGACCTGGTATTGTCTCCCCTCATGCGGCTGAACATCCCTGTCGGGTACGGCACGGATCCCGCCATGCCTGGCGGCACACAATATACTCTTCTCAGAGCTAGATTGAAATTATGTATCTAAAAAACCTTTGGATTAAGGAAAACAAGAACAAAACGTAGGCATATATGGGTACAGCACACTGCAACTCCAGGCGCGGGACCCGTGGCGGCGGGTCGGGGGCCGTTCTCGCTGACACCACCACCTACCGTGGAGTAGCTTGCGCTGGATGGAAACTTTGGACGATAACGGAATAAAGACCCATCCAGCCCGAAAGCAGCTGTTCATTCCCCGGGTCTCTCTCTTTTCTGTGGTTGGCGCCCGGTAGTTTGGCCTGAAGTATAACTCTAATCTCTCCCAGCATATCCAGTTTGCCCGTCACCAGGAAGCGACCGAAACCGATAAAGTTGACACAAGAAAGAAAATGAAACAAGATCTGATTGGCAAGATAGGAGACCATATCTTGATCCTAGGTGTTCTGCTTGGAGACTTTATACAAACACGATTATCATGAGCAGACCGTGTTCGTGACTGGGGGGTCTGGGGGATTGGGAAAAGCCATCTCCAAACAGCTGGCCGCGCGTGGTGGGTTACCAATTCGTCCACTTGAACCCCTCTTCTGTACTGATAATATCCAGGTGCTCACATTACCCTTTTCTCCCGCCGTTCGGCTCCACTAGAGGAAACGAAGGAGGAAATCCTTGCGACATGTCCGAACAGAAACCAAGATATCAACACCGTCACTATCAACATGGGTGATGCCCAGATGGTAATCGCCTTTTTCCCGATCCAGATGCTAATTACCTCTGGAATGTAGATCAACTGATCTGCTTTCCCTAGGTCGATGAGGCATTCAAGAGGCAGCCTCGGCCCGCAGATATTTTGTACTGTGTGGCCGGTGGCAACCATGGCCAAAACGGCTTCTTTGTTGATATCACTGCAAAGGACCTCGAAGATTGCATGCGGAATAACTACTATTCCGCCGCATACGCCGCAAAATCCATGCTGGATATCTGGATCGCCGATGATGCATCAGTACGCAAACCAACCCGCCAGAGGCACCGGCGGATCATCTTCATCAACAGTGCTGCTGCATTCTTAGGGTTACCGGGCTCAATTGCCTACACAAGTAAGTCGCAGTCTTTGTTGTCATGATAGATGGGAGACGGCGTAAACTGATAGGCAGCCGTGTTGCCTCGCAGCGGCCAAGTGCGCCGTGCGTGCCCTGGCGGACACACTCCGGATAGAACTGCTCCGCAACGACTGCGCGGCATCAACCTACTCAATCCACATCGCGTTCCCAGGCGACTTCGTCTCGCCAGGCTTCATGAAGGAGCAGCAAACGAAAGTAGCCCTTAACAAGACAATTCAGGGGCTGAACCACCCGATCGAGCAGCTCAAGGCCAAGTTCCCGTCATCGGACAAGGTCGCGAGTCTGATCATCCATGCAGTTGACAGAGGCGACTTTATTATCTGCGAGGACTCGATGGCGGCGTCTGTCTTGTTTGCTAATATGCAGGGGCCGTCGCCCAAGAGAGGTTGGGGCGTGTTTGATGCGTTGCTTTCGCCGGTTATGAATTTGTTTGTGATGCCGTATCTAAGATGGAAGTGGGAGGGTTTGACGAGGAAGGACGGCGAGAAACTTCAGAGGTCAAGAGAATGATTAAGGAACTCCAGATACCTCCACATGCTTAGGGATGAAGGCCTGGTCAAGACATCATTGCTGAGCCGGAGGCGAAGAAAATGGAACTCGAACAACTCAAAGCACGCCTAGCCCAACTTAATAGCTTCATAAACGATCTCAACCTGCACCGCGAGGAGTTAGAACAGCTCTCAACAAGCGCCCGCAACGCGCGGGGCGCCCGCACAGGCGTGACAACACTCACAATTGATGAAGAGATAGCTCAGCACCAGAAAGATTTTATCAATACTACTGATCGAATTGTTGCAATCAAATCCTCCATTCAGCTTTTGCAGCCTTGAACAAATACGCTCGATCACTTTCACTGACATATGATAATGACACAGCAAGCTGCAATGAGCGTGGTCCTGATAAATGCCCAGTGCTAATGTGTCATTGTTTGGGTTAGCCATGGGAGTTTCAGTACAAGGCTTTTGAGGCTAGTTCTCAGACAATGCAAAGATGCAGGTGAATCAGCATTTGGTTTCCCAAGGGTATTGTTTGAATGGTTGTTCCCACTCTTTTCAGTCTCTTGTCTCTCTCTTTCAATTCCAAGCATATCACATTCTACTTCAAACCCTTCAAGTTCCTAAAGTTTCTGCTGTACTGCTTCCAACTCTGGCTTGTGTATCTCTAGGCTGAAGAAATCATTCATTCTCTTTTCAAAATGAATTTGGTCATTCCCATAATAATCATATTCAAGCACAGACCAGTACAGGTTACCAAGGTAAAGGGGTTGCAAGAGCCCGTGTGCAATAAAAAGGTCAGAAGATCGGAGGATTTTCCTCCATATTTTGGCCAATGGGAGGTTGTCAAGATACCAACACTCTGGATGATATTCACTCTCACATTGTCTTGTTCCCATTTCCAAAGTAAACAGTGTGCTTTTATAGAGCAGTCAGTGGGGCATTTTTGCGTTTCCTACCAACTCAAGGCCATCAAGCCAGGAGAGAGGAATAAACATCTGTACAGGGATGGTGTAGCTCCACTCCCAGTCCAACACAGAGACAATATTTAGGTTATCATCAACAAGTATGTTAGCAGACTGTAGATCACCATGCATCAAAATGAATGGGTCATAGTTGTATTCAGGCTTTACCCACTCCATCAAAAATTGATGGAGTTTGTGCAAGCTGTAGATGTATGAGCAGGCATCATCTTTGCCTATAATACTGTCTCTCTGCTGATAAAAGTCATCAAGCAAAGCCTGGTGCATTGTATAGGCATAATCTATTGTTGAATGAAATGTTTGACTAGGTGCTATCCAGTGGCATGGCTCAATTACTGCAAGGGTCTGGTTGTTCATTAATAACTGAAAGTGGTTGATTGTGATCAAAAATCCAATGCTCGTCATCCGCATCCAAGGTCAGAGTGCCAATCCAGTCAAACTGGTGCTGGAACAGCTGGATATAGATATCACCAAGTTTGCTGAAAAATTCGCACTGTTCGTGATCTGGAAGCTTTTAAACTTCCACAGTGAAGAGGGACCTTCCTTCCACATAATCCAGCAGCATAAATGGGAGGCCAAGTGGATTGTCTTGTTTAATTGAATACCCATGTAAGCAGGGGATACATATTGTAGATTTTTCCGCGATGAATCTATGGTTGGTTTATGTGAGCCACAAGAAATGTCTAGGTGCATATTTAAAACTGCATTGACAGATAAAAGGACAGCCTGACAAACTGTAGCAATTTCACCGCGTAGCTTTTCCTCTGGAAAAGCCAAGCGCGGCAGAATCGGGATTCAGACCATCCATCTCTCACCCGGTGAATCTGTAAATTCGACTGGAAAGCAGACATTGAACCCGCCTTTCTTCACTTCACCAAATATTCGACAGGCGCTTCTTCGCCGGATGGAATGGTGTTGCTAGCTCGCAGACAGCAGATTGATCAATGGAGGCAATAAATCCTTGCGCCTCCTTCTTTATTCTGTGTTGAGTGATAAGGTCCATTTTCTGGACGTAGTCTCTCTTTATACAGCTGAATAATCAATCCCTAAAGGGGTGGTGGTTAGTGAGAACTTGGGAGATGCATGCAGACAGCGGAGGACTTTGATGGAGGACTCGTATGCTTGTCATTCACTAAGCTACCTAAAAGGGAATCTCGGCTAACCTATGTGGGTCACGTGAGCGAGGTGCTAGTTGGATTACCTAACAGAAAAGCTCCTTTTTCTGGTATGGAGCCGAGATTCCCCTTTAGGTAGCTTAGTGAATGACAAGCATATGAGTCCTCCATCAAAGCGCCTCAGTCAGGCAGCCCCTGATCCAGTCTAGCGCCCTGCCGCCGCCCTGCCCTCGCCGCCCGTCGCGTATAAATACAGCGCTGTAATCCCTCTGTTTTTCGATCTTTCATCCTCCTTGCTCCTTCACCTACCTTCACCCACGCCTCCACCGGTGCTCACCTGTTTGTCACTTCTACCCTTCTAGCACTCTACGCGTGCCTTCAGGTGTCGCTGCATGCTTGGGCTTTTTCACACCCTCTGCCCCTTTGTCCTTCCTCTCACCCCTCCCAGGGCCCCCTTACATCACTGGATCTGGGTCCTGCACCATCCTTCCCCCTCTGGCGTGCTCTGCCCCGACGATTCTGGTATCCATTTCCAATATCCCTGGTCTGGTTCCGACCTTCTTGGGCGATGTACTTTCGCACGTGTCCCCGGCAACGCGGGCTGATCTGACGTAGTCCATGATCCCTCTCCTGCCCCCAGGACACCTGTCAAAATCTCATTCGCGGGCCCTCAAGATCATCACCATGCCCATTCGCCTTGGCTCACGGTCTGGCGCAACTAGCCCTCAGACGAAGTTCTCTTGACCAACAAGAACTGCTTGAGGGAAGCACCCCAGAGCCATGTTGGTGCGCGCTCCTATGAATACGACCTCAAACACTTTCACCCAATGACAAAAATCCCGCAGTGGCGAAGATGCGGAAAACTCCAAGGTGCTCCAGCCCCAGAAATTGTCAGCAATGTTCCCCAGCAGGTTCCCGTCAAGCAAGCTTTGCTTCATGTTCAGCTTAATGTGTGAAACTTGTCCAACCAGTAATGGCTTACACAGCACAATGGTTTCATGCCAGTTGGAATATTGGCCGCTGTGCACCGCTTCACGCGCTGTTGGATGGTCTGTGTCAGGGATTCTAGGGCAATTCAGAGCCGTGCACTCCACAGAGATTGTACACACGATGTGCAGGAGATAAACACTGAGTTCCACTTGAGAGCAAATGCATGCTTAGCAAGTACAGAAGGTGTTAGCACTGGCAGCCAGGCAATTGCTGGAACTTACACTGCGCCATTGCACCAACAACATTTGAATCAGGCGCAACTATGGTATTGAGCAAGACATGCAAGCGGGACAACAAATCCCTGGCTTTTGCTGATGTTCCCTTGCCTTTTGTGGTAATCCATTGTCTAGTCACTGAGTTCGCTGCGCTGCTCTGCCCCAGACCATTACAGTCTGGTGCAATTGCTGTTTTGGGCAGTTCCCTGTCTGAATCACAATCCTGGCTTTTGCATCTTGCATCAATGCCACTTTACAGTAACTCAATGCATGATGACTTTTTCTGGGAATTTCCCATCTATAAAGGCCTGCAACCTCCTGCTGCCTCACCCGTTCTCTCCATTGATAATTCCTCAGCAAACAATCTCTCAACAGAAATAGACCCGTTCCGGTTTTACAATCCCGCGGAGGTCAAGGAGCAGAAGGAGCGGCGCAGACACACAAAGCATGACACGGCTTCGGCGGAACCTGCATCAGTGAAATTGTCTCTACCCACTTTACAGTTATTGTCCGGTGACACAGTTTTCGCCATCAGCACCATGAGCGACCACTCAGAATACACATTGTCTCCCAAATCTTGCGATCATCATCCAGGCCGATTTCACAGGTTGAAGGTCTTCCTTTGATTAAAGTGGAGTTGGGCCAGGAGATGGAAGTCAGTGCTATGAAGCAGGTCCCTTCTTATCTTGGATTGGGCGGGATTGTAAAACCATACTTGAAGATGGAGTACATTATCTTGCTGGTCTCCCGAGCGAAGATAGCCAGACTTGTATCAAGGAGAAACAGAAAGGAGAAGTATCAAGTAGAAGACAGAATGGACACCAAGAATGACAAGTTGGCGCCACCCTATCGCGGACTGGGAACTTCGGGCAAGTCATCCATTCCCGTTCAACCCCAAAGCAATGCATTTCTGACAGCTTCTAGATGGTCTGATCAGACTGGACAAGGCGGTGAGCCCCGACAGCTTCATTGGAATCCTGTCCTCTGGGCGAACAGTGAAAAAGGTATCCAGCGGATATGAAGTGTCTGTCGAGATGACATTAGAAGATTTGCGAGACTTTGGAGGGTTGGGTTTGTTGGAAATGTATTAGGGTAGCGGGAATTGTTGTCTGAGATCCAGAAACAGGTAGTTAATCGAGTCCAAAATCTGTACGCCCTGGCACCGGTCTCCCCTCACACCTTTCTCGACAAAGCTACAATGGCAGCTCCACCTATCAACCTCAATTGTAATCGAAGAGTTCAGAAGCCCTCCAGCACTTCAATCCATTCTTTGTAGAGTCTTCTCCACCTCAATGAAATGGCCATGGTCTCCTCTGACAATCCCGCCCGCTCTTCGATTTCCTTCAATTTCACAGAAGGATCAGGATGTATTGTCACTCGGGCTTCCTGCACTCTCCGTAAATGCCGAAATGCATCCAAGTACAAGGGTAAGATGTTATAAGTGTTATGAATGTCTAGAAGGTGACTGCCGAATGATGCAACTGAAATATGGAGCTTAATATTGGCACCATGGAGTTGTGCTGCAATAAGCCTAGCGTTGCTGAGGGTTTCGTCGTGCTTTCCATGCCTATATATATCCATCGTGAAACGGAATTGTTTGAAACGCTGCCAGGAACCAGGTCGCACTGAGAGGCATTTTCTTTGCAAGATGTATATTCCTTCATGGTGTAAATAGATCTTGCATACGAAGTTTCGGTAGAGTATATCACTTGCTTCCTCGAAGATTTGACGATTCAGTCGCGCCATTTTCAGAAAACTGTAATAGGTGTAGAATTGAACATATTGGCTCTGATAGTCATCAAGAATATATGAAAAGACCTGCTGACGAAGTTCAGTCGGTAGACGCAGTATGTAGCATGGCAGTGGAAAATCCGCGTGTTCGGAACAGAGTTGTCGTCTTTCGGACCAGGGAATCTTTTTGAGGCATTTGCGGTTGCCTCCGAGCGCTGCCTGACAAGAGGCTACAGTCTGTCCGAGTTTTCGGTGAATCCAGCAGATCGGGAGTCCGTGGGACGCTGGTACAATAGTGGCCCGATTTTTGCACGCACCGAAGGAATGTGTCAGGGCTGAGCACTGAAGAGATGTTTTCTTTTGTTCACAGGTGGTCTTTGGGTGTTGCCCGCCTCCTTCAGCTGACTTTCTCTTGCGTGCCCGTGTTTGACATTTGACTGGAGGTGGTTGCGGCGGAGACAAGACCACTGCAAGTTGCGTGTTTCCCCATTCCCAACTTTTGTTCCTTCTGTCGGAGCTGTCTGACGCTGGGTTGGGGGCGGTGATCGAGCCTTTGATGGATTTGGACTTCTTGGGCTGGATGGCAAGCGGAACACTGAGGTGTTCATGGCAGGTTTGAAGGAATTCTTCAGACATCTTGGTTAACTCAGAAATTTTGATGCAGTTATTGAGAGCATCATGAAGGAGCTCTTCATTCAATCTGTTGACTTGTGATTTAGGCAACAATCCAGATAACATGTTAGTGAACTGTCCAAGACTACAGAGGCGCTCGAAATTGGCTTCACCAAATCACATGTCTTGATTGTTTTGTCACCCCACTGCCAAGATATTAGCCTGAACAATTTATTGAGGGATCAAATTCTTGCCAAGACTTACTGTTATCAGGAGTAATAGCTCATTGTTAAGCAGACCAAATGGGCAACATTGAGAGGGTGTGAAAAGAGATGACTAGAACTGCCAGTCACGATGGGGTAGGTTATGGAGCCACTTTCAGTCCGCGACTGACCACCCTCATCCAGTCTCACTGTTTCTGAAAATGGAGGTCATTTTTGGAACTGAAGGGCCTCAAAAAAGGCAGGAAGATGTTGGCACAAGCCAGAAAAAGGATATCTAGAATTAAACAAGTTGGGTTAAGACGCTTAGCAATGGCATAAGCCAGGGGCTTGTCATTGCTGGTAGTGTGACCGAGGGTCGGGCATACGCCGTCGCCCTGGCTTATGCTACTATCCTGGCTTATGCTACTGCTCTGGCTTACTGTCCTGGCTTATGCTACTGTCCTGGCTTATGCTACTGCTCTGCCTTATGCTATTGCCCTGGCTTATGCTACTGTCCTGGCTTATGCTACTGGCTTTTGCCACTGCCACTGCCCTGAAACTGCGGTGGCATAAGCCAGGGCAATGGCATAGACTAGGACCGTTGATTGATTGATTGATTGATTTATTCATAGACTGTCCCGGCCGCCCTCAGGCAGCTATGCAGCGTACAACTCTAGATACAGGTGTTTTGGCCAGAAACTAAGCTCTTCCTGCAGGAAATATTCCCGGGGTTTAAACAGGTCATTCCTGCATGAAGGTGCTTCTTTTTCTACTTGAATTCACATCCCTCTACCAAAGTTATCTTGGCTGTTCTGTGTCTCTGCCTTGTTAGGCCTTTTCTGGCCTTCCTCAACTTCTGTTTACTTATAATCACTCAAATGCTAGTTATATTAGAGTACTGTTGAAGGGACTGCCTGGAATTGCCCCAGGAGCCCTGTTCTTAGGATCATCTTTGCTGCTTGTACTGCCATTGATGAACTGCAGAGAATGTGTTTGATGTCCACACATGGAGGTTTGCCTGCCCACATTTGTTGTCATTTGACTGCCCAGTTTCAGCATTCCAGGAGGATGTGTCGCATGGTCTGTGGTCCATACCCACATTGGCACTTGTTGGTATTGGCCTTGTTGATGGAATAGAGGTAGGTACATAGGCCAATCTTTCCTGTGTGCATCTGTGTGATTGCTGAACTGATTGCTCTCTGTGTTCCACTATGTGTTTCATCCTTTGGCGGATGGTGGATTTTGTGGTTGCTGTTAGAATCCACAAAGGGTCTGTTTCTAGGAGCTGTTTGATGTTTATTCCTGGGTCCACACCAGTGGCCTCCTTTGCCATTCAGTCTGCTTCCTCATTACCCAGCACCCCAACATGTGCTGGGATCCACTGGAATTGCACTTCCCACCCGAGGTTCTGGAGCATATCAAGTGCTTGTACAGCCTCAATGAGGATGTATTTACCTGATGAATGCTTGGGGTTCCAAATCGCTTGGATGGCAGCCTGGTTGTTGGTAAAGATAGCACATTTCCTAGGGGTAGTGCCGGTTGCATGGAGGTCGAGTATGATTTCCAGGGCTAGCACTAGGCCCCTGAGTTCCACCGCATACACTGTGGAGGTGCTGGATGGGCCCATGTATTGAGTCCATTTTGTGTAGCTGCCATTAGCCTGGAGCGAAGGCGCCACTGCAGCTGCTCCCACATGGTTGTTGCCAGTTCTATGGCATTGTGTTCTTTGATTGCGTCCTCCACCAAATCCTTTATGCAGATAAATGGGGGAGTCCACCATGGCGGCACAACATGTGGTTGGCGCTTCTCAAGTCAGTTGAGCTGTACATTGTACTTGTGTTCTAGGATGCTTGAGAAACAGTCAAGGGGACTTTGCATATCACTTGGTCTGTTGCCATCTCCAGGCACAACCATGTTGTTAGGTGGCGGGGAGGTTCATATGCGCATTGTTGCTTCCAGTGCAGTCTGTTTGAGTTGCTGTTGTACTGGAAGCAGGTGCCGTCTTCGCGGCGCAGTGCAGTCTAGACAAACAACATCAGCGCATCACCACTTCCAACTCCAACAGGATTTCCGGCGCCCACACACAAGGTCTCAGCTGAGGCCTGGTGCTGTCCACAAACCGGACCATGGCCGGGGGAGGCACAATGCACTGGATTCGCCCGTCTTCATCATCTCCATCAACCGCGCCTCCTTTCTGCTGATACAAGATTATGTTCCCTAGATCTGTCAATGGTGACACGTCCTGAATGGCGTCATGTCCCCCCTTCACCTCTGTCTCGGCCGCCAATGGGGTGTCATCACCAGGACACGAAGTCCCCCGGCGTGCAGCATGGACGGCCGGTTCCTGCGATGTCTCCTCTTTCCAAGCGAGCCGCGCTTTCACGAGGTCCGGGAGAGGGAGGGAGGGAGGACGCGAGCGAGAAGGGAGCGGAGGAAAAGGGCGGCAGTCGAAGCAGCGCGAGGTGGAGGACGAGGCAGGACGGACGGCGCAAGCTCGCCTTTTATAGATGTTCGGCGCACGCACGTGATCACCCACACTAAACCCCCCCCATCTAACCGCCTAGTTAGCACTAGGCGCTGCTTATTAAGCAGTAATGAAGGTCTAAGCGCTCACCCAACCCACGAGGTTTGCCAACTAACATCACCAACATCAAATCCAACGCCATCACCTCTTTGAATCTGTATCAGTCGTGTCATCTTTGATTTTACTGCATTTGTATCGATGCTTCCCTCGCTTTTACATTTCCTACCCCGGTTCGGACGATGGAAGCCCCTAAGCTTTTCCAATTTGAACTTTCCCCGGATACCACTGGCTCAAAAAATCGAAGAAGAGACAATCCCAGGTTACGTCGCCGCGCGGTACTATCCCGTTCGCATTGGGGAGGTCTTCAATGAGAGATACCAAGTCGTTGGTAAACTCGGATATGGAGCAACTTCGACAGTGTGGCTTGCGCGGGACATGAAGTAAGATCCGATCTCCATAAAATTGTGTTAAATGCCTGAACTAAAACCATCTTCAGCCGCCGCAATTATGTTACCCTCAAGATATTCATTACATCTACATCCATGGGCCAGCAATTGGATGGCGAGCTCAATATGTACAAACGCCTGGAGCGAGGCTCGAAATCTCATCCTGGTCGCAAAGCTGTGCGGATGCTTCTCGACTCTTTTGATGTTAATGGGCCCACAGATAAACACAGATGCCTTGTACATCCTCCCCTATGGGAGAGCGTCTTGACCTTTCTTCGCCGCAACCCAATTCACAGGCTGCCCGTTCCAGTCATGGCAACTGTACTAAAGTATCTCCTTCTAGCACTGGACTATTTGCATTCCGAATGCAAGATTATCCACGGTGACATCAAATCCGATAACATCATGCTCGGCATTGCTGATGATTCGGTTTTCACTCATTTTGAGGAAAGCGAGCTTCAAACACCCTGTCCACGGAAAGAACTAGATGATGGTCGCATCATCTACGAGTCCCGCCAACTCACAATGCCAAAGAACTTTGCCCCCCCTGTGTTATGCGATTTTGGGTCAGCCATGCCTGGAGATGTTGATGAGCATTTGGAAGATATCCAACCAAACTTCTATCGAGCGCCAGAGGTGATCCTCGAGATTCCATGGTCATACAGCGTTGATATATGGAACGCAGGCTGTGTGGCGTGGGATATGTTCGAAGGCGAGTTTCTGTTTACTGGACATGATCCGGAACTCCAGACCTACCGAAGTAGAGCACATCTAGCTGAGATGATTGGTCTTCTTGGGCCACCGCCGCCTAACCTCCTTGCTCAGGGTAGGCTGACGAGCAAATTCTTTTCAGAGGAAGGTAGGCAAACTGCTTTTCTCCTCTCCACTTTTCATTGCTACTTACATCCCTTTTCACCCTTCTCAACTTTTCTGTGTTCTGTCTAACTTATTTAGGCGAATTTTGTGCCGGAATTCCTTTGCAAGATCCAGTTCCACTCGAAGAGAGAGAAACTGCTCTCAAGGAACAACAGGAGGACAGGGAGAAGTTTCTGTGTCTGATGCGGAAAATGGTTCAGTGGGAACCGGGCAAGCGAAGCTCTGCGAAGGAACTTATGCAAGATGAATGGATCCGTGCGCATTCATGAAAAGGAAAATGCCGGCCTTGGTTCAGCCTTTATCACAAATCTGAGCCGCCATCTCGGATCTCTTGAGAACCTGTGACTTGGTTTATTCAGTGAGGGATCAGAAGGTGAAAGAAACCCAAATGATGTGGAAATACTAGTATCTGATTTTGAATTTAAGACCTAGTCACATAAGCCATCAAAGCAAGAAGAACGATAGAAGAGCCTACGAGCAGCATCCCGATAAAGCCGGCAACAAACTTATCCCCTGCAAACCAAGTTCTATTCCCGAGGTCCCTCTTCAGCAGCCATGTCCACGGGTCTTCCCTGTGTGGCCGACGTCGAATACTCGCGTTTATCGCCAACTCTGATGGTGCCAGTACCGTTCGCATAGATGTGATGGGTTCGAGCCGGCCCATTGGTAGGCTTGACTCGAGCGCTGATAATCAGCTCTTTATCTTTAGGGTTGTAATGAGATCGATGGATAGGGCTACTGCTGTCGTTGCGGTGCCTATGTGAACAGTCATAAGTAGCACGTCCTAATAGGCTAGGCAAAGGAAAGAGATATAGGAGTACTGACAAAATCTCAATAGATTCGATTTCGCCGACTTTCTAAGAGAGGTTTAGAGTACAGAATTTCATTATCGTTCTAGGATGTTGCGTACCTTGACGGCACCATTGGCCGCATAATGATCTACCGCCTGCCGGAACTCCGGCGTGAGAAGCTCCTTATCATAGCCCAACCATCTCACAAGGGTCCGAGCGGTTGAAGAGAATGCACGGGCCATAATGGTTGCTCCTTGGTGTATCGAGTAGAGAACTAGATGGATCAGAAGCAGAAGGATTTTACGTGAGATTGAAGATAACAATGCAGAGAGCCATCAGATTTTGTCCTGGAAGGATTCCAAACAGTTTATAACTGCGATTCTTGCCAGTTGTCGAGCTTGTAGCCGCCTTGGTGTGATGCGGAGGATGAATGTGATTGGAGAGCTGCACAGGCTGTTGGACCCAGCCTTCTCCACCCATGCTGCCAAGCATCACAGACCCGTCCATTTCCCGAAGTCATGACAAATGATTCGTCGCTGCTGTACATGTCAATCAACATGGTGGGGGGACGCGATTTCTGGGGACACTTCTGCACCTCGGGGGACGCGACATTGTGACAAGTACCTCCGGTCGGTCACCATCTGGTCCTAACTACTAGAGGGGGTGAGCAGCATGGGATGGGGGAGAGAGGTTATAATAGCCATATGGCAGAAAAGGCCGCTTGGCCTCGAGCACACGGGGTCAAACAACCATCTGTTTGAGCAGCCCGGTGTCCTTGACGCCCAGGAGGTCGATAGGGCCATATGGTCGACGGGCCCGCTGTCCTTGACGCCCACACGGTCGACAGGGCCATATGGTTGACGGGCTCAGCGTCCTCAACGCCCACACGATTTCTTTTTTTAGACCTTAAGCAGGAAGAATCAGAGCAAACGACAGTCATTATGCTGTGGTTAGCCCATGGTTGCCATTACTCTACTTAGAAGCTTTTAAGGAATGCTTAACCTAGTGACAACAAAGATATCAAGAGTGAAGCCACAGATGCCAGTATTGCTTGAAAACTAGAGGATAAAGATTCTGTTGCATTTTATTGGTTTGACTATTATATCCCAAGCTCTGTTAATTCACAATATCAATATTCCTGAAGTGCCCTGCTGTCTTCCCTTTTGCTCTTCGACAATCCTCAGGTGATATGTGAAGTGGAAGAGGATACTGATGGGCCTGTTGATGTCAGCCAAAGCATCCACTCTGGGACTGGAGAATGTACTATTTGCTCAGCTGATAGTGGCTGATTCCCATTTGTGTATAAGGTGAAGTACTGATTGTTCACATAGACAATGATATAGACATCAGCTCCACATTTATTGCTGTATTCTGCACTCTTTCTGAAGAGGGTTTCTCTCTGCCCAAGTTTCTTTTTGGTTGATGTTTGATAATCTTCAACTTTTTTTTCAAGCTGTGAAAGGATCTCCAGTGGGTGTCAAGGACACCAGGCTGCTCGAACAGATGGTCATTTGACCCCATGTGCTTGAGGCCAAGCGGGCCTTTCTGCCATATGGCTATTATAACCTCTCTCCCCCATCCCATGCTGCTCACCTGCTCTAGTGCCAGGGGCATACCACCGGTCTCGTACAAGCACAGCATACTATTGATAGTTTTCCTATTAACTTCATCTCGCAGCTGTGAGTGCAGGCAATGCCCACTTAACCATCCACTCTGACTTGAGGATTTCCTCAGCTGTCGGTCGCTGTTCCGGCCGGAATGCCAACATTCGGCGCATCAAATCAAGGATAGCAGCCGTTTCATCTACTTCAAACACGCCCATTCCACGCTTTCGTCGATATCTTTGTATGCCTTCCTCGAATGCTTCATCAATTGGAGGCCACACATCCCGGTCTTCTCTTGGGTGTCCATCCTGGTTGAAGAACTGGCCCCGTTCGTCCCACCGCTCCCACCAGCTTGAGGGCATTGGTCCCAGCACATCAATCTGCTGAGACACAATCTCATCTGCAGTTATGAACTCACTACTGAAAATCGCCTTCATGCCAAGAATTTCCCAAATTGTTGTGGCCAGACTCCAGATATCTGCTGAAAATGATAGTGGAGACTGTGGTTCAAATCGTGCTTCCGGAGGCCGCATAGCTAATGGTGTATGGCAACTTTCCCCAAGGCGGACATTCAAGGCTGGCGAAAAGGCTTCACCAAAGTCGCTAAGAAGCACCTCAGCATCAGACAATGAGAATTCTTCTGCATCTTTACCAAGGTGGTGTGGTATAACAGCAGTTGCTGGGACATTGGGTGGAAGCGGTTTTCCATCGCACCGTGTGACTGGGACTGCCTGCGGTTTGCCATATGTTTCATATAGCTGCTCGATGGGAAGCTGATCAAAGCTCGAAGGTAGTTTAACCAAGACATTGCGAAGATGGATGTCTAAATAAAGATGCACCAAATATTAGTTAAAAAGGATTTTGGTATCAAGAATTGTATGAGACAAACCTCCATGAACATAGCCTTGTGAATGCATATATGCAATAGCTAGTGTGAGGCCAGCTGATAGTGCACGTGTAACTTCAAGAGGAAACAGGCGGCTGAAAGAGACCTCTCTAAGATTGCATCTCGCAGGAGTCATTGTGTAGCATGGATGAGTCCCATTGGGGCCGTGTAGCTCGAATTCATCAAGGGGCAATGGTATTGACTTGCGTCCTGGGTGTGTGGACAAAGACGATGGTTGTGGTACCAAGAGGGCCCGGAGAATTTTCGACTCATGCGGAAGCGAGTTCGCAATCCCAACTTTGACAGCAACATAGTGATTCAACCGAGTGTCTTTAGCTAGCCAAACCGTTGAATAGCCTCCAAAACCAAGCTTATCCACGATGCGGTATCGCTTATGTAGCATATCCCCAATCATAATAGGATGATAACCCCTGAGCTTGTATTTTTCAAGCGATTCCGCACCATTGATCCAGTTGTATTGGACGTCATCTTCGCCATGTAGCATTGTGGAATAAGAAGATGAGAAGCTCAACCCGAACTTCTGGAAGCGACGAATGTATAGTGAGGACTTCGACAAGAAAACAGGGATGGGAGAGCGAGCCATCTCAAGCCGATGTGGTGATGGTTGTTTGGTGTCAAGAGTGTGAAGAAACTGAGAAACAAAGCCCGACGCCTCATTCGCTGGTTTCCAGACTGACCAGCCCAAGCGCCCAACAACCCATCTGACCAGTCAAGTTTTCGTGCGGTTCGAAGTGACAGGGTGCGGATGCCTCCCCGCTCTTTTCCAGGGGGAAGAAAAGAATTCATAATGGGCAAGATGCGCCCTGTTTTCAGTCCCTTCAGTCCAATCTACAGTATTTGAGCTCCTGCAAGAGTGAGAGTGCTGTCTTCTTACATTAAGTTGGTTGCGTCACTTGAACCATGGCAGCACCAGGGGGGGGGGGGTGAACTTTGTCGGATTCTTTTTCTACGCCGGCAACACGATGAGTGCGAGCCGAAAGAAGGCTCTTGTTGCCCTTGCCTATGCGACAGCTCGAGACCAAAAGCTGGCTCCTAAGGCGATTCTCATTCGGTTGGTCATACCCAGCTTTGCTTTTAGTGCAAGTGCTATCCAGTACTAACCAGACTGTGTATTAGATCTGACGTGCATGATACTACCACGGTCGCAGGCAAGCATGTCAAAGATACCAAAGGTTGGCATGGCACCTTTGCCTTCAAAGACGACAACCAGGTGGAGCGGGAATTCCATGTGGCATCGCATGGGTATACGAACAGCAAGGAGGATTTCAGCCTCAAGGAGGCAACACATACCCCAGAAAAGGAGGATAGCACTTCACGGGGCGGGGCTGGATCTGGGAAGGTTGTTTGGCCTGCAAAGCATCTTCTTGAGGAATATGTGGACAGTCCTATTGGTTACTCGCACCTTCCAGAGCAGAATTAAGAGCCAGGAAGCCATGTAGTTCCTCATTACCGCTGACATACCAATCCTGGAACCTTTTTCGGCTCCTCTGTACTTGAACGCAGCACAAGTAGAGATTGAGACCTTGAAGCGTTCAGTCCGAGTTGTATTTGACTTTGAATACCCATTTGCTAGAGACGACTGGGCGATTGGATGGTCATTTTGACTAGATTCCAGGTTCCAAACTTGTCTCTTCGCATAGTGTAGATGTGCTCCATATTGCTCAGCATGAAAGTATGTTCTCCTTAGTGTTCATTTGATGATGCCAACAAATTTTACGCAAATAAGATTGCCGCTATTCATTCTAATATCATGGTGGCCCTGCTCCCCCCAGGACAAACCTTAAGCTTAAACTAGGAGTCTGTCCATCCTACTAGACTACGGGAATCGTTTGACCAGCTTACATTTTTCCTTCCTCGTGCTTGTAGCAGTCGCTGGCGACTGTTCCATCGCCTGAGCCCGGCGTAAGGACCACCGTTGCTGCAGGGAGGCCTTTGTCCGGCGTGGAAAGTGCTGCTCGATCTCTCACCAACGCCAACCCTGCGCCTTCATTTTGATAAGACGCTCTTCATCATGCCGGGTCCACCAAGATGGTTTCGTGCCCAGTTTCCCACGCAGTTCACTGTCACTCGTGCTCTGGGTATCTGTCATTGCTTCCTCGTCATCCGCGGAGGGTGCTGGGCCCGGTGACGGATCCCTACGGTATTCAAGAAGCTTCTGTGTGAAGGCGGACACCAGGGCTGAAATGTCTTCAGGGGATAACCATCGACAGCTCTCAGTCTGCGCGGCAATATTGGGTGACGATACATTGGTTAGCTGCATGTTCTGAGACTTTGACTTGGGCCTCCCACGATCCTTGACGGCTCGTGCGATCTGAGGCTGAGACCGATGCCGAGACGAAGATGGACATGATGTGGTAACTGTTGACCACGAGCTGATCTTGCGCCGCTTTGACACCGGCTTTTTCACTGAATCACTGGCGTCACTGCTATTCGCAGCGTAATCGTCGTCCGAGTAGTCAGAGGGATCGTGCTGGCTGCCTGTATCACTCTCGCCTTGGTCAGCAGCCGGCACGGCATGACCATGAGGATGGCGGTCTGGCCCAGCCTGAGAACGACGTCGCTTGTCCCTCGGCCCCTTGGATGCCGGAATCACGACCGCGACCATGGTCTGCATGGACCCAGCATCAGATGGCGGTCTTCTTCTCCTGAAAGGATATTGCCGCTGCCCAGTATTACGTGGAGTTGCACCAGTCACATCTTTCGGTCGCTCTGGTTCGATGCGGCGGACCACTGACGGGGAACGAGCGGAATTTGCACGCCCAACCCTGGCATTGGTCTCTGCTTCGATCGTGGTGGACGCTTCTATATGGGCATGTGAGAAAAAGACGGCCCCAGTGGGGAAAAGAAGCACAACATGAACTCACCTTGGCTTCCATGTGGTAGCTCTTGATATGCTTCTTCATCCGGGTGCTTGTCCAACCCTGACAAGGGCGGCTTCGGAGGCGACGCAGGGCTCAGATGTTCAGCACTGACAAGTGGTTCCAGTGGGCCGGCAGAGTCGGGAGTGAAAGGGTCCGCTGGTGAATCTAGAATCAGTTGACCCTCATTATTGTGATCCTGGCCCAGGTCATTGCCTCTCCTTAAGATGTCTAGAATGCAATCTCTGTTAGAAATACAATCAATTTTGATTTCTGTCAACAGATGGAGATATGCAGAATAAAGAACCCACCTGCAGGATCACTTGTCCCATTGGAAGAATGTTGCACACCATTCTCTCAGGTAGCAGTGTCGGCAGTCAAATCCACAACTGTCCTGTCACTATCGTCAAGGCCTTCCATCTCATGAAAGGCCTTGTCAAAATTGTTTGGCTGAACTGTTCGCGCCTGACTTTCAGGTTGATGACTGTCCTCAAATGATGTGCATTGAGGGGCACTGGCAAAGGGCCAATTAGGTAAAGAATGTGCTTTTGGTGCAGAAGGGTAGGGCCAGAGTGATGGAGGGAAAGCAGAGAGAGTGAAGAGGGAACTGGGACATGCAGGAAGCTGTGGTGAGGAAGGCAAAAGATGAGGATTTGGGGGTTTGGGAGGAAGTTTTGCAGAGGGAAAATGTCCATGAAGTTTTTGGATTGTGAGAGGTTTGGGGCAAGATGGAGTATAGTTGACAAACAAGTTGAAACTGAAAGGAATATGTTGCTCAACTGAAGAATGAAGATGACTTGCAGTCTAATACCACAGTGGATTTCAGTGGGAAGCTGGGAGTCTATATAGAAGCATCTGCTAGTCCTGCACCCACTGGGTGCAACAGATGAAGCAGTGCTCCTTTCCCCCTTCCAAACAAACCTTCACACTGCCTCCAAGCCCTCCCAGCCCAGTCAAATGATGAGTGCACTTGTATCCTGGCGGGACACTATACCAGGACCGCACCATGTAATGCCAGAATGTTGTCTTGACAAGAAAGAGTGACCAAGCAGTGAGTTCCACAGTCACAATCTGCCAGTCACTGACCCAGATAGATGCTAAGGTTGGTTGAAATGACACATTTCAGGCCCAATGCCATGAGTGAAGACAAATCGGAAGCAATTCCTGCAATTGAATGAGACAACCACTGCAGGGTGACATTGTAAGTCAGCCAGCCCTGATCTTGCAGGTGATGTGGCCCCTCGAGTCCCCATCACTCAACATGTGCTCCATATCCTGGCTGAGCCCCGTCATCCACGCAGGGCTATTGGAGGAAGTGGTGTGTGACTTCAGCTGGATTGCGTTGTGCTAAGTCGCATGAGACAAGCCGAGGCCACACTAACAGATTGTATCCGGAAATCAACTCACTTGGAACATCCTAGGCAGAACATGGGACTCATTCTATCGCTAAATTTCCCACCATGATTTGCCGGTTGGAATATATCCGTCGTCTGCCTTCTCTAACAGGGATCGGGTCAGAGACCCAGAAGGGGCTGTACCACAATTTCCGGCACGTCTCCACCCCAGCCCGAGAGATTAGGCGAAGTGGAGGGAGGGTGCAAGGCACAGAGTCATGGAACCAAACTCGAGGACTGACAAGGAAGCGCGTAGGAAGTGTGAAAATATGCCTGGCTTCCAAAGAAGGGGACAAAGCAAGAAATTAGAGGGCGCGAGAAGCAGTAGGATGGTAAAGACAGCGTTTGTTCAAATGCGGGAGCGTTCAATGGATCACACCAGGCCTGAGAGGCGGTTGATTCCGCGGCAATGAGACAGGGATCCGTGAGCGGGATAAAAAGGAGGGGGGCTGAAACAGGGCGCTCAGCTCCGAGGATCGCCGGCAGTGAAGGACAAAGGAAGACAGGAGCGGGTGATGGAAAAAGAGGAGGAAGTGCGTGCACAACAGAGGGAAGATGGAGCAGCTTTTATAGTCGCGGCGGGCGAACGCGAGGTGACATCACAGGCGCCAGCACGGGCACCATCCCCGAATGGGCAGCGCTAAACCACAGCGGGCGATGCCTAACCCAAACAGGGCGGCGCTAGGCTCGACCAGGACGGCGCTAAGCCACATCAGACGCGTGAGCGCAAAACCGGCCGCGCTGACGCAAATCGAAGTTGTTCTCCCCACACTAACTACAACTCCCGCCTACCGCCTTTCATATAAGCAAAGATACCCCTTTCTATTCTCAATCTACTGTCATCCTGGAAATTTCCAAAAGACATTGCTTTGGAAATGCTGGGAAAGTTGTAAGTGATTGTCCATTCAGACTTCAAATAGATTTATAGAGGTATCCTTCTAGTTAATAAGTAGCCGCGCCATGGCAAATGCAGGAAAACAGGAGCCCCACAATCACTCAATCTTATCTTCAGCCTCAGCTAGGAAATCTGTTTATTGTTGGGGACTCGGGTGCCTCAAGAAGACATCAAATTATGAACCACAGGAAACAAGAATAATGACAGAAACCTGCCATATGCAAAGAAGAGAACAGGTGGCAGGGAATGATTGATCTGATATCAGAGCAGGACAGCTCATCACATGACATGTCCTGTCAACCCACCCTTCTATTAGTGCTGTGTCATATCTTCTACTTTGCAATTTATTCCAGTCTGTCATTCTCCCATTCCAATCATTGCTCATTTCACTGCTCATCATGCTTATTTATGAATGTGAGAACTGTTCACACCATTTCAACACCCAGTGTGCCTGTGAACAGCATATGAACAACACAGATCACTGGTTGCCAGAGTTTGAGTGCGAGACATGTTCACATCCATTCAAAACTCAGCGTGCTTGTGAACAGCACATGGATGCTCTTGGGCATCAAGAACCCAAGGTCCCATGCGATGTATGTGGCAAAAGGTTCCACACACAGAATGCCGCCAACCAGCATATGAGAGACCTTGGCCACCAGAAGAACTACTGCAAGAATTGTCGTCTCTTGTTTCAGAATGGAAACAATCTGTGAATGGTAAGGTACCTATGTCAACAGTTTATATGCCAGCTATTTATGAGTGATATAGCATCTTAACTCCAGAATCCACCGCGGTGCCAGTGTCCCCTGCCATTTCTGCGGCAAGAAGTACACTTCAGCAAGCAGCGTTACTCATCACCTTGAACTGGGTTCTTGTCGCTGCGCCAAAGGGGTGAATCATACTTCCATCCTCCATGCTATACAACAACGTGACCCACATCACATCATTACCGACAAACAGATTGAATGGTACAAGGAGGATGTGTCAAAATACCTAGCCACAGACCTCGCATACAATGGTTTCTTCTGGGAGTGCTATCTATGTCACGCCGAATTTGGGACAAAAGGTGCTCTGAATGCGCATATCAACTCGCCCGCGCACAGTCAGAGGATGTACCATTGCCCAAAATGCAGAAAGAAGTTTAAAAGGCTCGCTGGGCTACTCAAACAGCTCTGCCCATGAAAATCTGCTCGCAACACCAAAGTGTACCAACATGATTGATCCCGCAGATATTTACGCGATTCTTTTATTGGCGGAGCAGGTCTAGTTATCACATCCCATTTGATATGCTGCAGCATCCGCGTAGCAAGAGCTTGCTTTGGAGCCTACCTCACAAGATATATTGTGTATCCTTTTTTCATTCCCTGCCTTTGGCTTTTCAGCCCAGTCACCAGGCGTCGGCTGCTTCTACTGATACTCTATTGCACTGCTCAATTACTCTCGCCCTAGTTGGGGTACTTATTGTCCATGTGCTCAGGTTTGTGGATATCTCTGTCCATATATAGTCTCAATCTGACTCATTTATACTAGCTACGCGAAGAAATTCAGCGCCTGCGTCAGGAAAATGAGCAACTTCACAAGGAAAATCAGCAACTTCGTCAGGAAAATAAGCAGCTTGATTATAGTCTTGATCTCCTCTGCAGTCGCATGCCCTCTGGTAACCCTGTTCCACCGGAGGAACATAGCTGAAAAGCTGGTGCTACAGCAACAGTAAGTTGGTTAATGGCAGAGTTGACATATGGTGGGTGGCAGGGAAGCACAAGAGGAAGAGCATGCAAGGAATGATACAGTGTTTGATGTAGGCATTTACCCATGTTGAACTCATCCAAGAATATCCTTAATATGCCTCTCCTGGAAACAAAGATCAAGACAAAATGAAGGTCAAGGAGAAATATGGAAACACAGGCAGCTACAAGCCAAAAGCCCCCAAGAGATGACAAAGAGTGACCAGGAGGCATGCGGGCCCGTGGCTGGTGCTGGTAGGAGATCCAGGAGTCAGTGCTATAATCACTAGTCATCCCTAATATGGGAACTTATTTGAGCACGGGGTTTTCAAAATGTGTGTCATACAGGTCTGGAATCAGAATGACTGTGTGGCCAATTATGACTTTGGACATTTTGCCGATCCAAAACATATTTTAAATATTATAGGTCATAGACAACATAGAAATAGATGAACAAGCAATTAAATTATACAGGATCAAACAGCTTGAACTAAGTCTCCTAAATAAAACCACCAATTTTCCAGACTATTAGTGCCGCTGTGCTGCTTCAGCTATGACTTTGAGAGTCTTCCTCACCACCCAAGGCCTTGTGAAGCACATTGTTTCTTGACTAACTAGTGAACTCAAGAAGAATATGGTGGCATCAGCTCAGGACTAGGGCACATGCAAGGCACGAGCTTGAAGACCTGGGAGCAGGGATCAGCTGCCAGAAAAAATCTCAGGCCCCTGTTGCGGCCGCAAGGCAAACCAAAGATCCCCTCCGGAAGTTGATTATTGCAGGATACAAAGGGGGTAGGCGCCCATGCCTGGATGGGGATCAAGGTTTGCTTTGTAATTCCACCGCCATTATGTGTCTGATAATCCAAGCTTCTTGTTCTTCCCACATGAAAACTTTGCCACGGGCAATGTCTGTGGCCCTCTGTACTGGATCAGCTTCAAAATCTGCAACTGAGTGATATATGTTGAGCGACAACCCAAAGCCCGGGAGTCTCTGGAGTACCAAGTGACCAAGTTGTTGAAGATAGTATGGCTGGTTGGGGGGCCATGATCTGTTCCATTCTGACAGCAAAAGCAGCTCAATGCTGTTTGAGGGTCTCAAATATTGCGATGTGAACTTGACGAACCAGTTCTAGCTCTCTTCATCAGAACCTTGACTATCTTCAAAAGAAGCCCTGTCATCATCAGTCTAGGATTGGAAGTCCTGGACTTCGGCAAATACCTTTCGACCCAGAAATCCCCACACAAAATAACAGGATTCTAGTACATCCAGTGCCTCTGACATTGCTCTCTTGCTGTTATCTTTCCAAAAAGTAGTTGCGCAGTCAAACACCTTCACTTACTCTGAGTCTGTCTGACACACTGACACCCATGCCAGAGACACAGCCTCAATAGCAAGCCAGATAGATATCTGTCAAAGCTTGATAAAATCACTGGGTCTGCCTTAAGTTAAAACACGCCATGGATGACTTGACAGACGCATCATGATCAACGTTCAGCCGCGGGAGACACCCCTCAACTGCCAATAAGTCACGCATTGCCTTTGAAGTGTTGTCTTCACACATAGAGAAAACCAAACAGCAAAACAACATACAAACCAACAGGTGTAGGTAGCAATCCTGCAGAACTCACAGCCCCTGCCAACAGCAAGCAATCCACCATACAAATTCTTCTGTCAGAACATTGGCAGAACCATTGTATAGCCCGAGAAAAACAGAGCT